CTCGTCAAGATATGTGCCCTTTTGTGGCAAATCTAGAGTGGCCTCATCACACTTGCTATTTACCCCGACCCCTCTCTCTCGATCGGCTGATCCGACTCGGGCCTCCAATCCGGATCCTATCATTGTCTCGTGGATCCATTCCTTCTCTTTCTGGTTGACCGATGTCACTCGGTTCCAGTCCCAGAGTGCATTTCACACCAGGCGCTATTTCTCAAAGCCCTAGAAGCACATAAACTGCCGCTTCACTGAGCAGAGTGCCTAAGCTCTGGTTGCCATGCTTGCAGATATCAGGCCTTCTCTTCACAGGTTGTCTCCTTCATTAAATACATGTTATGAGAGCCAACTGCGGACGCCTATCTCAAGTGGATTTCTAGTGCATTTTGGCTAAAAAAATACATACCTATATTTTTAAACATTTAATCTTTTGGTAGTCACGAGACCTACTTATAAATAAAAATAAGTAATGTAGTCAATTAATATAGCAGTACAACTGCTTCAAAGACAAATAATATGAGAAAACCTAGCCTTCCTTGAAAATAATATCTGACCTGTGGCACAAGGGCATTCGTGCTATTGTGACGTAGTGGTTAAAATGTCATGGCTACACTTTGTACTACTATTAAATAATATGAGATGTATTTACCCAATTTCGCTTAAGGTGATGAAGCACTGGTAGGAGAAGAATTTTCCCACAATCATATGAGTTGAGCTGACGTTTCCATTCAATTTCACAAAGCCCTGCTTTCCCAAAAGTTGTTCTCATCCAGGCATCAGTGGACTGCAGTTTCGACCTCGAATCGGTCTTATCAACACCCTCAGCGGGATTCGAACCAGTCCTTCATCACTTCGTGGCAGTGTAGCCGAGTGTTTAGCGTGTCAAGCTCCCATCCTGCACTGTCGCGATTCGACTTCCGCTGTGGGTGTTGATACAAGGTCGAAACTGCAGTCCACTGGTGCCTGGATGATAACAACTTTTGGGAAAGCAAGACAATGTGAAATTTCATGGAAGAGTCAGCTCAACTCATATAATTGTGGGAAAATTCTTATTCTACCAGTCCTGTATCACCTTAAACGAAATTGTGTGAATACATTTGATACTACTGATTTACTGGTAGTCACGAAAACAATAGTTAATTCGAAAAATACTATTAAATAGCTCAAATAAGAACCGACCCATTGTCGTAAATAAAAGTCCGTTTAGTCGACAACCCTACGGTGCTATAAGAAAATCCTGATTCGCCTTGAAGGCCATTTTAACCATCGGTAGCTTTAACAGTGTGATACAGGTCGATGGAAATTCAATGGCAGCTTTAAGCCGAATTATGGCATTAAAGGATATTTTTAATCATCATTTGCCAAATTATGCGACCCACAATGACTAACGTTCTTAATCCTCCTCCACTATGACCAATTCAAGAATCCTTTCCATTTATCTTCTCCCGAAATGAATCTTCTGTTGCACTCTTCAAAACCCATCTTCTATTCATCTATACGAAGAAACGTAAAGTGTGCGACAAGCAGAAACAAGCGCTGCCTTACAGTGGAAAGTGTTACTATTTCTCATGGATACTCAACCAAGCTTTGCCAACAAGAAACAGTTTAAACTCGTCTGACCGTGTTTTCGCAACTTAGTCGTGCCAGGAAGACGAAGAAAAGATCGCCAGGTCCTACATCCACTGTGACAATATTCAACAACTCTTCAAGCATCGCACAGTTGACTTAGTACGTTCACCGGCAAAGATAATGAACTGTGCCAAACACAGCCCCAGGCGACAAGTCGCAAAAAGACAGTCCAGAAGAATGATCCTTCTGATAGTTGAAAGTCTACCTGACGCCACGACCAAGTAGCGAAAATGAGGTCAGATCATTGCTATAAAGCGAAATGAGGCTATGGCCAAAATGGTAACAACCCCATCTTTATATTAATGCCACTAGCAGAGGCAGTAATTATATGCATTAAAATGACCTTTTCTTAGAGAATACTATAATTGGTCTCATAATGATTAGAAATACATTTATAAAGTCGTCTAATGTCTAAGCAGCATCATCTACCTTCTCTTCTCTTGTTAGGTAGGTCAACATCCAGCATCATGTCATGGGTCCATGTGCCCTGAGCCATTGGGTTTGACATAAAGTCTCTGAGCTCCTTGTCGTCTAAGCACGGATGCTGCCAGACTTCCTGCTCACATGAACTGTCGTCTTTTGACTCCACGACAACCGGTTCCTCAGCCATATTCGACGAAATCTCAGCACGTTTATGTCCCCGAGCACACATCTCTTCGGAGTCATTCGAGGTTATTGTTGATGGAATCATGTCTGCGTACGTTTTTCTCGGCCGGTTGGAGTGTTGATGCAGACCATCAAAAGTAGGAGTACTTGCTTCTTGTCGCCAGGTTCTCAGAAATCTCGAGCTTGGGTCAGTTGGGCTCAATGGCCCGAAAGTTTTGTCCATCAACTCGAAACCACCGTCCTCGATCAAGTGGACGGGCAGTTTAGGCCTCGAGACAATTGGTGCTTTGGAGACGTAGTCGACATTTTCACTGACCATCGGCGTCCAATCTGCCCCATCGACACAAAAGGGAGTTCTGGAAGGGACTTGTTTATCACATTTCTTCTCATGTTCACTTAATGCAAAATTTGCCGCACAAGCTGAGTCTCCAGCTGCAGATAAAGTTGTGCCCGTAGTTGCCAAATACAAGGGCACTTTGAGATTGAGACAAATGGATAAAGATAAATATTTAAATGTGAATGGAACTTGCAATGACAGACCTATTACGGTCCGATAGACACTATATGACCTTAGCTGAAATGTCATTTACCAATAGCAATAATGCCTCACAATAGCAGACATGCCAACAATTAATATTCAATCTTATGTTATGAATATTTTCACAAAATACACTCTGTTCAAACTCTGCAGCGAGCCTTTTGTATTATATGCAAATGGAGAGAATGAGCTACTTGAAGTTACTTCGAGTAATAACTATTCGAAACTAAAAATTATATCCAACCGTTTTCTGCTTTTCGACTTGCATAGACTCAACTAATCGAGTCATCATTTATTCCCGCAAAAGCTGCAAATTCAACATAAAATAATTAAGCAATTTTAGTCTGCCTCTTAGACCCAAAATTTCGTGCTGCGAGAGTTTCAGAAGTTTATTCACAGATTAAGGGTAGCTGTAGGTTGGACAAAACTAACTCCGAAGGTTTGAGTGATGTCGAAGAATAAGCGAAGTAAATTATAATAATTA